GCGATTGGTTTCTGGGTCTCAACATTATGGTTAAATCAGATAGGATCAGTAAGCATGAAAAATTAGCATAGACTTGGTTCACGGTGGATTTCCACTCCCGCGGAACGTCCAAAAAACTGTTCATTGAAGTCACGTCCCCGTATTCCTTCCTTAACAATCTGACATTCACAGCTGCGGTTTGCACAGCCAAAACCCTCCGAGAAGCCGAGTCCCCTGAAACTGTCAGACAGCAAGATTAGATGCATCGGTGAAATGCATATCTTTACTGCAGTTTTAGGCTAAGGCCTAAAATTTACATCAAGAATATTCAACTCCAGCCTTGAACTTATTAGTCTGACAACCGACAGGACAACGAGCCCTTCACTTAGTGGTTAGAGACGTTGGACTTCTAACTAACAGGTCGCGAGTTCGAGCCTCAGGTGTTCCACACTTCGGGGTTGGGTATGGCTGGCTGACGACGGTTAATAAGCCAGAAATGGCCATTCCAGTCTCCCTTGTCTTTGTCGGTAATAGCATACTGGTTGGGCTCCAGAGAGACCCTGTAAGGGACAACGGAAGGAGTGAGTTCCGTAAGGACGATCGGTGAGCGCCCCCTACCATTGTATATTCCCAATCGAAACTGACAAGGCAACGGGCTCGTGGCCCGGTGGGTAGAGGCTTGGACTTCCAAACCAACAGGTCGCGAGTTCGAGACTCGTGTGTTCCACACTTCGGGGCTGGGTGTGACTGGCTGACGACGGCTAATGAGCCAGAAATGGCCATTCCAGTTTCTCTTGTCTTTGTCGGTAATAACATTCGGTCCAGTATTCATGTCTTGGAGTTTGTATAGCAAAAACAGCAGAATCATCGACGAAGCACCTCCATGGGTTTTAAGTCGGTTAGGAGTAACCATACTATTACTATTACTATTACTACTACTACTACTACTACTACTACTACTACTACTACTAGTTGTGTTACTTGTTTCTAGAATGGACATTATGTTATTAAGCCGCAGATGCCGATCGGCTTTATTGAAATTTCGAAAATGGTCACGCCCCATATTCCTTCCTTAGTAATTTTCGAACTCGTTAATTTGACGCTCATATCTGCAGCTGATAAAGCCAAAACCCTCCGAGAAGCCGAATCCCCTAGAGCTGTCAGACTGCAAGATTATAAGCATCGGTGAAACGCATATCATCCCCGCAGTTTTAGTCTAGGGCCTAAAATTCGTGTTAGGGATATCCAACTCCAGTTCACCATCAAATTGCTTCTGAAATTATTAGTCTGGCAACCGGCAGGACAATGATACCGTGGCTCAGTGGCTAGAGGTGTTAGAATTCTAACTAACAAGTCGCGGGATCGAGCACCAGGTGTTCCACACTACGGGGCTAGGTACGACTGGCTGACGACGGCTAATAAGCCAGAAATGACGATTCCAGTCTCCCTTGTCTTTGTCGATAATAACATTCGGTCTAGCATTTATGTCTTGGAATTCGTATAGCAGAAACTACAAGCAGAGTCCAAGTAGAAGTTGAGCTACTAACACCTTCGCCACGCTGCGGAAGAAACTTCGACGAATACTCTGTCTGGACATTTTCTTAGTAGACTTGTATGGCGTATGACTCGCGAATAACACTACTACGGTTACTTAATCGCGGTAGATGTGCATATTGTCTTTGGGGCCGAGCCGTACAGTTGTCCTGAGAACATTATTTTGGTTTTCAGGGGGAATTTCTGCTGAAACACCAAAGAGAAGGTGCATTTCAATTAATTATAGCACACATTAAAGCCTTCATCGATAGGTAGCTTAGGAACCGGGCTATATGAAAGAACCCGATAAAAGAACGTAGACGACTACGGCTAACATGACGCATTTATGTAAACTGAGATTCCGAGCTGGGAAATGGCGCCCACATGCATTGCACGTCATTTTTCACAAGGGGAATAAACTGTCGGCTATGCGAATGTCATAGATGCACACGCATCTCCCTAGTCAAGGCAGAGAATATCAATCGTAGCCAGCAGCACACTGCTCTGGACTATTTCGTCTGCCGATCGACTGTGGATTGTAACTCCATAATTGAAAAAAACAAATTTATTGACTTCAGAAGAAACCTTATATTTAAAAAAACATGTCTATATGGAAGAAACCAGAATGTGAGTTCGAGGCCGGGGCCCCGCAAACCTGGGTTCGGTTATGGCCGTCTGATGATGGTTAATGTGCCCGAAACGGCAGTCCCGGCTCGACGGGGCGACCAGGTCACGTAACCTGATCAGTAAACTCGCATCCAACATAGCTAGTTTATTTTGTCAACCAAGGGTTGCAAAAACCGTAGATGTTTTCGACAGGTGTGTTAAAATGATACTTGATGACGGCATCGGGCGTGAATGGGCGTTGCCTCATCAGTAGACGTCTACTTTTACAATCTCATATCTACTGGTCAAGAAGTCTTCCCAGGCAATAGTGAAATTCACGTATTCGCACAGTCCGCTCCAATTACTTATGCCTATGAGTAGGGCTCGATTTCCGTCAAAAACCAGCGGGGTTTGAAAACCAGCACACTCCGTGTTCTCTTATTCTACGCGAGATCGCTTTAAAGTTTTTTCGTTAGAAGTAGAATGAATTTAAAAATATAGTCGCATGGGGATTTACTTGCTCTCCCGAAGTACATAGAAAGGGACACGATTGCACTCCTCAAACAGGCTTCGCTTTACAAGAAATATGCTGGAATTTCAAATAAAAGGAATCGACTTTCATTTGAATGAAAAGAAAAATGATGTGATTCATGTGGCTCGACCTACGCGGACAGAAGAACAGTTCCAGGTTCAGGCAAATCCTTTTCATTCAAATTACTGTCCTCTTTTTGGAAATCGGGCTCAAATATGCAGATTTATTCCATGACAAACATACGTACATGAATTTGCCGCAACTCAAGGAAGGCTTAATTTCGACGAAGAAGTACATTATTTTGCTGGTAAAATACTTTTTAAACATATCACGGGTGAGAAACATACTGCTGTTTACTCGTTTTGTTAATCAAATAATCATGTTATCATCTCGTCATTTATCGCGATAAAAATTTTCTTAAAATCAATGAAACCCCTTTCTGCAGGCTGTTGGTAAAACCGTACATTCTGCTTATTCAGAGCAAAAAAATTATGTAAAACTCTTCTTCTCACACAGAATGCGTTTCTTAATTATTTTACTAACAGAGAAGCGTATATTTTGACGAATAAGCATACCTTCCTCGTGTCTTGATCACGGTTTTGGTTGCTGCAAACCAGGTCCGCTCGTTTGCCCGTGATTAGCAACTAGAGGGTAGTAAGTTAACCTGGACCATAAATACGCCCCTGAAATTAGCCCCCCTGAAGACAACGCAACGGCTGTGCCACTCTAAACGTCGTGGTTGAATGCTGCGTGAACCGTACCAAACCTCTTCCAAATTGTTTTTCCTTCTAAAACCTGGATTGTTCAAATATTGGAGCTTTCGCGTACAACCGTATGTCACTATGATTAGCAGTTTTGTACTGGTCCTACTCCTAGCGCCTGTCCCAACGCTGGGCCCATCCGACTCTTCAAATGGCCAATCAGATTCAAGGCCGAGTCAGACTTGTCCTGGCTTAAGACACTTTGACGCATCCCCTCACACATCCCTCACCACCGCCCTCTGAAAAACCAGTGAGGGCACTCCTACCATCCTGCAAATAGTCCCGGCCATTCGGTCTGCAATCGGCAACGTGGACTAGATCTCAGCCTGCTTCCAGTGACACTCAAATTTTTTCTCACGCATCCGCCACATAGGATACTTGCGAATTTTACCACTGGGACCGGTGAACCAGTAGTTGGAGCTCCAGCATATAGTCATTACATATGCCTAGCCTATTCGCAATGCCCCGGAACGTGGAGATCCGTGTTGATCATTTCTAACATATGCGTTGACACAAGATTACTTCTCACGACAGACTGTCACCGGCAGTGATGTCTTCAGGACTGCAAGGCGTTACAAAAATAAACGGTAAGATGTGGTTATGTAGCCCCATCTGATGGACACAATAGTGTTGGGGCTGGGTTGAGGGGTTAGGGTCAGGGATTAGGATAAGGGGTTATGGTTAGAGGTTAGGGTTATGGGTTAAGGTTAGGGGTTAGAGTTAAGCGTGAGGGTTAGAGATTAGAGTTGGGGTTAGGGGTTTGAGCAACTATTTCTCAACCACTCAAATTACAACCGTGCATTCGCAGTCGATTTTCTTTTGCATACAACTACTTGACTTCGTCGCCTATACGTTCCCCGGCCCCACGTGTAAAAGCCCCTATTACCACCTGTCCCATATTACAGGTGGCTGGGATTTGTTTACTTCAGACGGGGCTGCATAACCTCATCTGACCAAGGCGTCATTTCAGAGGTCAATAAATAAAGTAACAGTGGTGCATATATGGATTTCATGTGGGTGGTTATATTTCAGTCTTGGCCTCTATAATAAGCGGAAAATATATGAATTAGTAATTAATCTGGAAACCAAAGTACTGCCTTCACTTGCACTAGCTATGACTTTGTAAGTCCCCCGTTAGCTTGTTGACGCGATGAGCACGTTTGCGATTTTCCTGTCTTCATCAGTCTGAACAATCTCCCACCCACACGAATTCAAGTGGAGAACGTTGGACTGATTTCAGCTGGACTTCAAAACCGACTGAATGATTTGCAAAAAATCCACTTGCCGTACGCAAAACCCACGTGCTAGCTAACAGAGCAGACATCTGCTAGCGCACTTGTCAAGGCTTTTCCTCTAAGTGCAAGATTAATGACTACACAAACAGAAACTTATCTTCAGTCTGTTTTACCATCCCTCCAAGGGGCTAGAGTTCCCCACGTATCGTGTTTTGTTGTTTTTACCTTGGCAGTGCCAGCGGAGGATCCAGGGCAGGTGCGGACCAATCAGCGCGGCGCAGATCGATTGGTACTCTGAGGATGGAATATAAAAGTGGAGGGTCAGAACAGTGACTCTCATACATTCATATGAACATGATAAGCGCACCCCTACGCAGACTGGTTCTTTTTCTGGCGTTCATAGTCTTCTCTGTTAAAGTGTATGCTCCATACTCACTGTGTATACTCATTCTTTTAAAACCAAACTGTAAACTATCACGAATTTTATAAGAAGTCCTCGGAGTTAGAAATATTATGATATAAGATGAGGAAGGCAAAAAACAACCTGCTGATGTCCGTCAAAGCGCTATTTCCACGCAGTTGTATCTGTAGACTTTTTGACCCTCTACAAATGTTATTTTACCAGATCCCAACGGACGGGATACTGAGTACGTGCCTCAACGGTTAGGGCGTTGGATTTCTAAGGACCTGGTAGTGGGTTCAAGCGTCAGGGATTGCGAAACCTATGGTTGGGTATGGCCGACTGCCGAAGACTAATGAGCCAAAAAGTTGTCATTCCAGCCTCCCTTGTCTTTGTTAGTAATGTCATTCTGCCTATACATATATATATATATATATGCAGAATGAAATGACCGACAGGGAAAAGGAGACCTGGAATAACCATTCCCGACTTGTTAGTTGTTATCAGACAGGCATGACCAGGTCCAGGTTATGCAAGCCTCTGAGGTAAAAACCCGTGACCTGGCAGTTAGAAGCCCAGCACCCTAACTACTGAGTCACGGGTTCTATTTCCTTGCGGTTGCGAGTGGGCATGTTAACTGTTAGGGGGGGCGCTCACCTAGTGTACTACGGGACCTACATGCCCTATTGTGCCTTGGGGCTCGATTTAAAGTTTACGTGCGGACTGCTGCAAACTATGGAATTCTTTATGATGTCACTTCTTTTGTTCACAGGCAGGCGGTTGGAATATGTGACTGGGATGCGCGAACCTACACTAATCAGCAAGGTCCCGTCAATTTCAAAACTCTCCGCAGTGGGAGATACACGGTGAGTTGTCTTTTGCCGATTTCTCATTAACTGGATGTGTCCTTGTTGACAGTCTTTACTATTTCGTTACAATGAACCTCGTCCTTTTATCATTTCAATAGACAGGATACATTGGCGAAGTCCCCTTTACCTCCAAGTGGTTTAGTTGGGATACCTGTTACCTTGGTGATGTGGCATTCAAGTGCGTATACGAAGACGGTAAGTCACACGAAGGACACTTGATTCCCGTTGGAAATAAGTACTGACATTTTAACTGCATCATTTGTAACTCTTCCTATACCACGCAGATGGAAGCATACTGGGAACGAATATAACAGTGCCAAACATCACGAATGCGGACGTGATATACATCGACAGCACCTATCCCGTGACGATCCACAGGATCGAAGACCACGTTCAGAATAAGTCCTTAATGGGTTTGTCAATACTAAAAGTTCCATTCAAAGTCCTTGCTCTACCAACCTACTTCCCCAACTAATTTATTCTGCACGCAAATATTTCAGATCGTTTCATTGTTGACAAAGACATGCACCTGACCAAATGCCCTAAATATAAACAAACAACACTGGTTTGGAAGTTCCCCGGAAGTGTGGAGAACAGGACGGCTGTAAGTAACCTTTTATTCGCCGAAACAAGGCCACTGTCTAGAAGTAGTCACACGGTCAGTATAAAAGAAAAACGTGTTTCTTTTCGCCTAGTTTGAATGCTTTCGGGAGGGAACGAAGCTGTGCAGCGGGGTCACAACAGGGAACGAGACGGATAAATGTGGTGAGTTGAGCAACACATACGTTGGCTAGGTCCCGACCGTAAGGCTTGTAACGATTCAACTATCAGTAGTGCCTCTGTTTGCATTAAGGTGTTTTCCTGAATGGATGCCGCATGCTTTATTTGTGTTTTTTTCTAGTTGTGACCGTTGAGGGCGGGAACCTGGTTCATACTCGGGTTGTGAACAGTACCAAAGACGGTATCGAAATCTTCTACTGCCGTCTTAGTTCAGCAACCCCGCACCGCGCACTGACCTACAACATCGACTGGCGGAGTAAGTACTTGTGAATAGCGATTTCTTGAAGGTAAAAACAAGGAACTCAGAAAGCTTATCAGGCTTCCTTAGTCTGCAGATGTACACCCGACGATGTCTGTTCAAGTGGAAAGACCGCGCAGATGCTATGTCAGTCGCGTCGTTCACTGTTGTGAAAATAGTTACTCTCCTATTATTGAAGACTAGAATTCGAATGACTAAAGAGTTGCAAAATACACAGCCACGATCTAGTAGACAGTTCGATAAAACCTAGGAATCAGAAAGAGTGGGGGGGGGCATTGTCTGGTAGCCCTCAGACTTACTGCCTGGGATCGTTTTCACGAAGTCGCGCTGACTTTTAACTTTTTCAGACGCGACCGAGGTGCCGCCAGGTGGGATACCGCACGGAGGATTGTTTGCAGCGGTCAAACCGAAAAGTGGCTCCCCGAATACAACGTCCGCCGCCAAACGCCTGACAGGTAACGGACAATTTTTGGTAAAAAAACTTCATTGAAACTGACATTCCGTGCTTTGCTCTTTTTGCAAGAATGGAGGTAATATTTACAGTTTTCGATTTTTCTTCAGAATCAAAATTTACGTTGTGCATTTGCGCATATTTCTGTTATTTTTAGCACTGAGTCTGGGATCTGTCATGGCGCTGTTCGCCACACTTGCAGAACGCCACTGAGGAATGGTGATCTGGGAACTGGAACTATGATACTGTGTTGTCAGTTCGCGGCTGCGACCGGACAAATTCATTCAGTTTATGATTTTATGAAACAATAACATGTAACTAATAAAAAAAATGTGCCAAATATGTCCTCATACCGTCTTTGATAGAGGAGAAACAACACCCTGTCTTGGTACCTATGTGGGTCGCGTAGCATTAACAGATTCGGGGAAGTAAACGATGGAGCCAGCTGCAGCTTTTTATTGTCCTCAAAAAATTAATCGCTCGATTGGGGTAACTCAGTCCAATTAGGATAGTCTATGGAGACAGTACCATGCTTTTGGGGTGGATGTCTGAGGTGCCTGCGATAGATAATGACAAAATAGATGTACAGTAGGTGGGCTATCTCATGAAATCTCAACGAAAATTCCGAAATGCATTTCCGTTTCGAAAAGATTAATTAAGTAGGGTTGTAGAACCAATTATCGTGCAGCATGATTGTGTAATAATTCCGTAACCCCAGGATGCCGGCTTTCGAAAGAACTTCTTTCTGGCCGTATCTAAAAACCATACTCCGCAAAACATGGCTACTTATGTAACATGAATTTTTCTCATCGATTTTCATTGCCCATAAAAATTCAATTATATTTCATGGGAAACATGCATAAATATATTTATTCACTTGCTCATTCGGTGGAAAATTACGTCTTCTTTACATCTTATCTTCGAAGGAAGGGTATAATTCGGCTTTAAAAAAGTCTCTAATTTTGCGATTTTTAATACCGTGAAATGACCCTTCATAAAACGTCACGTCTCTGCATTTACCAATGTGACTTGCAAATTTATCAATGTGGCTCAACTTCACTGCTTAATTTTATGAACCCCATATGGTCTCCTCTCAATACGGTAGAAAAATGTATGGTTTTCCGTATGCAGAAATTATATGGCTTGTAGTTTGGAAATCCTGAATGCAAGTGTAACGGCAGATCGGGTTCAAAATTAGTTGGGAATTGGAACAGGTTTATGAAACCAAATTATACTTTTACCTCAAGTATTACATTGGATGAAGACGTCGTTTCCTACCGAATGACCAAAACAATGAAAATTTTTTTCACGTTAGGCATGAGATATAATAAGACACTTAGGGGCATCGAAAATCAATGAAAAAATGCATGCTACTTAAGTAGTTACGTTTTACAGGGCGTGATCTTTGCATGCGGCCGAAAGTTAGTTTCCTTTGAAGGCCAGCATCCTGAGGTAACTGAATTATTATAAAATTATACTGCAGACTGATCAGTTTCACAACTCTACTTAATTAATCTTTTCTAAAGGAAAACGCATTTCGGATTTTCTGTTGAGATTTCATGAGTTAGCCCACTTATTGTATAAATGCCTTTGAATACTCGTCCCACATAATGTCCTCAAAAATAACCGCTTAATTTGAGTAAATCAGTCCACATAGGCTAGTCTATGAAGAGAGGGTCAGGTTCTTGGGGCGGATGTCTAAGGTGCCTGCGATAGGTACTGACAAAATAGATGTACAATGATGAAGCGGGATGTTCATCTGATGCAGGAGGGGATGGCGACCGCTTCAGTGTTCATCTCCAATTTCGCAAGTCTTTCTGGCAAACCTCGCTGCTTTCACACACGCACATGCAGAGCGTGGGGCGGTGTGTGTGTAGCACGCATAATAATATCAGGCATTTCCATCACTAAATTACTGGCATGCCCGTGTGTGGTGCTGGCTAGAGGGGGGGGGAGTAAGGGGGATACCTAGGAGTTCATTTTCAGAGTACGTCATTATATTGCTCAATACAGTAAAGTTGAGCTACGGCCTTTAACGGATTGTGGAGGTCGTGCCATCCCAGTGATCTTGACACAAACTGTGGCACATTGATAAATACTGAAATGCAAAAAGTTATTTTCGGCTGATCTAAGGTTTGTAGAGTTTGCGTATTGGATTGTGGGAAGAATGGGTGGCATGCAGCGGTCGTGCCGTCCGCAGACCGGAACCCAATTCTACCGGGGTAGGGTGGCAATTCGAGCATTGTAAGCGACAGCGCCACGCTGAGCAAAAGTCAGTAGTATGTGGGTTTGTTTTATACTGAGACAGACTTGCCCGGCATCTACCTCACCCTCTTCAATCTCCCCAGACAGAGGTGACAAAATCAAATAACCCGTCTACACGTGCCATACGCGAGCTGGATCCCAGGATTTAGTGCGAGGACAACCCTGGCATTAGATTGGGGAAAATTCCACGCGAAATCATGTGCCAGAGAACTGCCAGCACACGCCAGACTGCGAAGGCCATGGATTGTTCAATCATGGCATGGCAGACACACACACACAGTCCATAAGGCCCAGAAGGATAACACGCGGCCCCGCACTTACTCTGTGCCATCACCCTTCAAAAACAGGGTAACCAGTTAGTCATCGACTGAGAGGCACTACCGATGGAGTACACACACCCTCCTCCTGTGTGTGTGTGTGTGTGTGAGTGTCAGAGGCCACGCTACGAAGGCGCCATAGCAGTCTGATTCTCTGCTCATCAGTCCGCCAGTTCATGCAAATGCACACAACCGAGGAGACGGCGTGGACTGAGTTGACGCCTCAGTCGGCAACATTTCCAGCCACGGCGCTTGACTCACCGTGATAATTTCAGGCACGAATTGTAGTGACCCTACGCCTGTCTCAACACTGGGCCTCTCGCCAGTGTCTGCACGTGCGCGTCATGCCTATCTGACATTCGCTCACTCAGCATTCCAATCGGCCAATCAGATTCAAGGCAGAGTCAGACGTGGCCTGGCTTAAGACGCTTTGACGCATGCCCTGGTGGACACTTGGAACGCCGCTCACCCGACGCCGGATGTGCCCATGTCCAGCTGCCAACTCTCATCAACTTCTTCTCCAGTTATTCTGTACAGAATATATTATCCTCCCCTCTGATGCCCGTCCTCTCTTTCCCTTCGGGACCGGGGGTGAAGGTCGTTGTAGCTACTGGCGTCCTAGCCTACTGCGATAGGATCAAATACGCAGCAGAGGAGCCACATGGAGTCGGAGTCCTTGACACAGACTTCGCACTTACGCGAGAGGTGTCGACTGTGTGTTCGCGTTGTGGGCGATGGAAGACGATGAAGATGTGTGGTGTGCATAGGTGTCCGTGGGGAATGTGTCTTGGTGTAGTGTGGTCGGCGGTTGTCTACCGCAAATTTTCATGAATGCGCATGTGACCTATCAGGTCCATGCGCTGGCCCAATGTCCGTAGGCAATGGAAACAGTTGAGTTGTATGTGACTAGTGTATGTGGTTGCTTCAGCCACTAGTTCGCCAGTCTCCGTGTGATGCATTCGCCAATGGCCGACAAGGCCGATGTGTGAGGTGAGTTGGTGTGTTAGTACTCATGGAATACGCTGACCCCTCACCGCTGTCTCTCAGCCTGTACATTTGTAGCGCGACCACTGTAGGCGGACAACTTACGGACCTATTAACACATACGCAAAACCTCGCCGACAAAGCCCAGACCTGACAGATCCATCGGCTGAAGCACACGGATCAAACTCTACTTAACCTCGACGTATATATCCGAGACTCAGAATTGTGGTATCACAGTACGATGTTGACAAAGACCATGCATAGGAAGTTGTAGTCGCATTGTTGTGTGCTTCGCACTTTTCGCAGAAGATATCGCTGAAATGACTCATTTGACCCACTTGCGAAAAACCTGGCGGCCGACGTGGGATTTGTGGGGGTCACGGATGTGAGATCGACTTTAATTGCACACAGTATGTCCGTTCCGTCTAATGTCTGACGACAGGGAGCTGTGAGAACAGGTTTATTTTGTACACAGGGCAGGTTGCCTTGAGTTGACTGTGAGTTGCTTGTGTGTCAGAGCAAAGCGTCCGTTCCCGGAGAGCGTCAGTCGTGGTATGTTGTTTACGCGAGTGTCACATGTCCGTGCCAGCATGGGTCCTGCTGAATGTTGGACATGTTATTGGATGGTTTGCGGTCGGAATCAGGCGTGCGTGACCACAAGGCTACACCGGTAGCAAGCCGGGCCATGCGATGAACGCGAAGCGGCGAAAGTATTTGTGTGCAACTATGACTCAAAAGAGTTGAACAAGAGGCACCCAAACTCAGGCCTGAGGGATGGCCGGGCGTCAGCGTAGTGGGTAGCCCTGTTCTTGCAGTCATTGACAGATACAGAAGCGCCGTGAAGAGGGGCACTGGAGCGATGGAGTTATCCAGTCACCTGGAAGACTTCCATAATAAGCCTCTTAGGCTGTAAGGATTAATCTGTGGCGGCTAAGCGGTGATGGTGTAGACTCAGTGCGCCAGTTGTTAGAAACGGGACGCCAGTTGGGTAGGAGATTTTATTCTGTACCGAAGGACAGGGGAAAGTTGGCAACCGGACGAGGGTGCGCCTGGCGCCGCGGAGGGCGACATCCGCAAGAGCGACGAGCCGTGTGTCGCCGAAAGTCGCTGCTGCAAAAGTGTCGTGGCAGACTGTTTACGCCAGTGGTCTGGACTTTGTCCGCCTGCGATAAACCAATCAGTGAAAGGAATTGCGTTGATTGGCTCCGAGCCCACGCGAGGGTAGTGACAAGCGTCTCAAGGATGGTGTTTCCCAAGGCTCTGTTCTTGGCCCTACACTGTTCCTCGTATACGTCAGCGACTGCGCAAACGAAATGGATTTCGATGTCGCAATGCGTGCTGAGGACATAAATATCTGGAGTACCATACGAAACGAACTTGACGAGGCGCGACAGCAGACAAATCTAGACTGCCTCGGGCAATGGTCAAAAGACTAGCTTTTACCGTTCAACGTAAACAATTGTAACTTTCTACGCGTCGGCGGAACCAGTTCTCCTAACCGCACGGTCTGCCGTCTGACTGGCAAACCACTGCAAGTAGTCGACGCTCAGAAGGACTTGGGTGTATGGATCACGGCCTCGCTCAAGCCTTCGCTGCAATGCCCAAAGGTAGCCAAGTTGGCGATGTCCATTCTATATCTCCTGAAAC